TATATATATATATTGTTTTATTTCATATTTTTTGTGTGTTCTCTGCTCGATATGCTTTATTTTTTCAAATTTTTTTATTGATCCTTTCACTATTGTAGTGATATATTTCGGCTATATTATTGAAATATTAGAAAGCACTCAAATGTGCAGATATAATCGTGCGAGCTGACAATGAGATTATATATCTTTTCGTTATTTTGTTTCCTAACTTTTTAAACTTTTAATATTTTTTTCTTTTAAAATATACTTTTTTCCTTGTTTTCTTTGTTTCGCTAGCCGAGCGATCGACGGTCATTTTTAAGTTTACATTTTAACCGTTAACCCTTTTGAAGGCCGTGCTAAGTATACTTACCACAGCGTTTTACCACTTTTAATTAAGGTTTCCATTTTTCAATAACTTCAGCTTTCTTGAAGTGAGTTTGAATAAAATTGGTAACCATTTGTCACTTTTAAAAACGTATAAAAGTTATAAAATACGTAATTCCTTTTGAAGTTTGTATCATGTAAGGAATTTATTTTATAAATAAAGAAAAATGAAAGTCAGTAAGTTCCTAATAGGTGATGTTAAATATATTTACCACCAAAAAAATGGCATTTTTATAAACTAAATGAGTTTTTTTTTTATATCAGTTACTTTCCTTAAAACAATTTCAATTCCAAAAATACTTTAATTTACCTTCACTAGAAATAAAGGGCCCATTAAAGGGTTAATATTATTTTTTAAGTTTAATGACAGGGGTCTTGCTTCCAAAACTAAACTGCAATAAAAGCTTTAAATAAATTCAATATACTCAAATAATTTGAGAATTGAAAAACAAAAACAGAATGTATGAATATTTGCTTTGAATTTTTTGTAATTCAATAATCTAATATTTTTTTAATAATATTATGTTAGATATGAAAAAAACTTATCTTCAAAAACGACTGAAAGCTTACAAAATTCCCACAATACATCAACTTTTGTGCATCTTTTTCCAAAAATTTCTATTTTTCATACACTTGCAAAAAGAAATTCGAAATTCCATCTGCCTCATCACTTCAGGGTTCTTTCCAGAAACGTGCAAAAGGAAATTGCTTTTCAAATATTCCAAACTGTAAGAACAAAACGTTTTGGCGAAAGAAATTATTTTTTCCCCTCCCATGTTCAAATTGAAAATAACTGTACATTGAAGAAAATACACTTATATTTGAAGTTTTTCTTCCTTTTAAAAAAATTGTACGTTTTATAAATTATTATAACGTTATTTTGTTACACAATATAAGAAACATAAGCGTTTTATATGATTTATATTAAATTTCAAGATAAGCCATATCTAGAAATGGTTTCAAATTGCCTTAAAAACATATTTAGTTTCAAATTGATATCTTTCCTAAGAGTTCACAAAGTAAAATTTAAAATAAAAAAAAGAAAAACTACAGCAACATATATGTTTACAAATCATTATTTTTCCCTTTGTGAGAAATTGGAGATGCTATCTTACATTCGATTATTACTTTTTGCAAGTCTAGAATATAAAAAGAAATCATAGAATTGTTAAGGATTCGTAAAGTTATGCTGGTAAAAGTTTTACGAGCAATTTTATTGTATTCATTTATTATTATTTTTCATCAACAAACTTTTTAAGCTTTTTTACGAACTCAATGGTTTCAAATAATTATTAATAGAAATTCTATTAATAATTAAATTTTAGTTATTAATAGAATATTAGTTCAATATTCGAAATATTAGTTCTTTATGAGGCTATGTAACACATTTTTGGTAAAATAAACAATTATTTACAGAAATTATGGGGTTAAAAATGTCTAAAATAGATATAGACATTCATAGTTATAAATGTCTGTATCTATTTTAGACATTTTTAACCCCATAATTATGACATTTTTACTATAATTTTTAATATTTGACAAAATTATGACTTTTTAACTCCATAATTAGACATCTTTAACCCCATATGGCTATTATGTAGATTTCTATATTTATAACTAATAATTTCTATAATTATAACTACATATTTATACCGATTGCAAACTTCTATAACTGTTATTTAAATATTATATATACATATATCTATTGACATTGGTCGTTATTGCTATCTCTTTTACTTAACAGCTAGAAATGTCTGTAAGTGTTAAATAGACATCTGTAACTACATATAACTATAAACATCTAATGTTATACAGACCTATAACAGCTAGATACGTCGATAAATTTTGCATTTATTTATGACCATGTTTCAAACATCCATAACAAAATACTGTTACCCATTACTTTGTTCCGCAAACCAGCACATTATACACACCAGCATAGTTGTTCACTTATAACACTTTTTAGAAAATGTCTAACACAGAGGTGTCAAACTCAATTTTGCAGAGGGCCATATATTAAATTTAGAATATGTAGGCGGGCCATATGCAAATAAAAAAAATTTACTGAATTATTATAAAATTTTCTTTATCTAATTACATAGTTTATAATATACGGTTGTTAAAAATCATATCAAAGTTATAAAAGATGGTTATTATTTTGAGCTCGAGGATCCAGATACCTGACTTCTCTTGTTTTTGACAAGCTCATTGATGTCCGGTTTCATATTTGTTATAATTATTTTAAGAATTGATTGGAGATGTTCATTCGTAAGTCTTGCGCGATGTTTGTTCTTATTTATTTTCATGACGGAAAACATCTGCTCCCATAAATAGGTGCTACCAAACATGCACAGAATGCGTGCTGCATGCTTTTTTAATTCCGGGTAGTTATCCAAACTCTTGAAATATTGTGTATAAAATGTAAGAGCGTTAACCTCTTTAAATTTTTCTTTCAAAATACTGTCCGATTGAAGATTTATCAACTCCATTTGCAAATGAACTGGTGCCTGTGAAGCTTCAAAATTGAATGGATTGTTGAAAATTGGGAATTCCGTTTCATTCATTTTGTGGAAGTCTTCAAAACGATTGTTGAATTCCGTGATAAGATTTTGCAGAAGTTGAGAATATTGATCCAATTTCTTTGTGGTTCACTGTGCCAAATGATTTTAAATGAGGGAAATGATCCAAAGTTTGATTTTTACCTGATTTTCCCACAGCCTTAACTTTGTTTCAAAGGCTTGAATACATGAATACATTTGAGTGACAATCAGATTTTACATTCAGATCAGTCAAGTGTTAATTCATGTCTACCAAAAAGGCACAATCAATCCACCAGTCATTGTCATAATCAATTGGGTTACCTTTTTCTAACATGAAAGCTTGAATAGGGTCACGTAATTGAAAAAATCTTTCTAAAACTACTCCTCGACTGAGCCAACGAACTTCGGTGAAATTAGGGACATCAAAAAAATTTTCGTCCAAATCTTGTAAAAACTGCCTGAACTGTCGGTGATTTAGTCCTCTGCTCCTTATAGAATTTACTATTTTAATTATAGGTTGCATGACATGGTCCATTTTTAAATGTTTGGATGCCAATGATTCCTGATGAATTATACAGGGAAATCCCACAAAATTCCCTGATGTTTTCTGTTTTAATTTAGTTACAACGCCCGAATGATTGCCAGCCATGGCAGGAGCGCCATCCGTAGTTGTGCTGCTAAGTATATTCCAGTCGAAGATTCCGCTTGTTGCTAAGAAATGGCGTTACTGTCTATCTCTCTCGCTTGTCTAGGCACGCGCTGCCCTTGAAATTACTTATAAATGTAGTATGCACATTTTAGAACTTCCGTCGAGGAATCGAGTGAAGTCGAAAAGCTCTAAAAAACACAATTCTTCTTTCTGTGACACATCGCGATCGGGGGTCGGATGTGGCCCGCGGGCCGTATCTTTGACATGACTGGTCTAACAGTATTAAACGCGGTATTATAAAATTCCTTTTCATTTTTTCAAAAAATATTTTATGTATAAAATCTGCATATTAAAACAAATTATTTGTTTTTCCCAAGATTTGTAGTAGAGTATGAATAGATTTTAAATCTGACATTGATTAAGAAAGTTTTACCCTGAAAAATACTAAGCACCATCCTCTTAGTAAGTGGTAAATAATTGCTGGACCTTTCCAGTCGGGCTTCGGTGGTAAGGGGAAAATGAGAGGAAACTTGCACATTTGCTATCTTAACAACTTTTCCAGGCTGAATAAATTATTTGATTCGAGCAACTTTTTTATTTTGGACTATCAACAGAAATATATAACTATTTCAAATGTTCCAATAATTCTGTTGATTTTCATT